TTCCTTTATTATATATTCCTTTATCATTCCTTTGTCATTCTTTATTGTGCACAAAACATGCCACAGACTAGTTCAATTAAATTCAAGCCCCTTTGAAAGAGCAGTTTTGAGGCAAGTCTTTGAGGGTTGTTCTGACTCCAGGAGTGTTTCTCTGAGCTGTCTCTTTTTCTGGTTCTCTCCGGTAATCTAGTTGCCCTATGGGTTAGCTTGTTGCTCTAATGGAGCTACTGGTCTCCTCATAATTGTTAATCACCACAATTTCTGTTGTTTTAAAGAGCACTCTCAGGCTTCAACTTCTGTACAGCCTGTGTGAAACAGAAGCCAGAGCTCTCTGTTGTTACGGACTACTTCTTCCCCTGGGGGAAAATAGCTGAGCCCCTGCTCCAGGCTGAGGTAAGGGAAAGTGCCCTCAGAATGGCACCCCCTGCCTTATGAGTTAGACACTGGTTGGAGGTGGTAGCATCCTTTTTGGTTTGCCTCTCTTGGCATGGAATCTCCACTCTACAACAAACTGGGATAAGGGCACCCAGGGCCCTCATATTGTCAGCCTGTGGAAACTAGAGTACAGGTGCCACTACATGAGTATGGACTGAGTGGAGGATGGGATCCCCCAGTCTCCTGGTTGCACTCACCAGGAATTAAGTCTCTGCACTTGGAGCTCAGAAGATGGGAGGCTAAATCTTAAAAACCTCAATATCTGTCTTTTCTTATATTAGAGGTAAAGAAAGAGCACCCATAGGTGGAGAGGCACTGGTGAAGAGTTCTGTGGTCATCAGAGGTGGAGCCAAAGCAAAAGACCCAGGGAGTTTAAGTGGGATGGTAGGGATGGGAATGGAGGGGCCTGAGGGAAGAAGCACTCAGTTCTGTTTCCAGTCCTGTAAACGCAGAGCAGGAGCCTCTAGCCTTGGACTGTCTGTGTCCATTGTTGGGATATGTGAGTCGACTGAGCCTTTCCCCAGAGGCTCTATTCTTTCTACTTCAAATGGAGATCCCTGCCTTTTTATTTTTATTTTTTGGGGCTCTAGAGACATGCTTAAAACTATACCAAGGCTTCAGATAACAAGGAAGGCCTGCATTAGCCTGGAAGAACCCACCTGCCAATGCAGGAGACATAAGAGACATGGGTTCAATCCCTGGGTCAGGAAGATCCCCTGGAGGAGGGCAGGGCAACCCACTTCAGTATTTTTGCTTGGAGAATCCCATGGACAGAGGAGCCTGGCAGGTTACAGTCCATAGGGTCACAAAGAGTCAGACACGACTAAGTAACTTAGCACGCACAGACAGCCTGTCGCAAAGAAGAAATTACAGTCCCTTCACAGGCCCAAGGCATCTACAGCTCCTCTGGCCAGCTCTGCCAAGCCTTGTTTTTGTCAGCACACCACCCTATCTCTTGGACAAAGTGTGAGGGGTCTGCTGCCCACCAGGAGAGATGGACAAAATCTTTATCCAGAAACTTGGCAGGAGGCTTGGGTGAAGCAGCCTCTGGACGAAGGCACATTCTGAGATCCTGGTGGCCTTTGTCAGAGGAACAGAACTTAGAGGCAACAGACAAACTGTTTGGCATGAGGCAGCTGATAAACAGGGAAGCAAATTCAGGCCACAGCTAGGAAAAGCCCCTCAGTCTCCTGTATTTGTTCTCTTTCTGCAGCACTGCCTGGAAATAAAAGTCTGTTGGTGTTGGCTGGAGGCTGAGGCTCCCACTTTATCCCCTTTGGAATCTGCCAGAGGGCAGGTCTGATATTCAGGCTGTCCTGACAGCCAAGCTGCCAGTCTCACACTAGCCAGCAGTATTCCAGGGCAGCCTATAAGTCTGATGGAAAGAAAACAGTCTAAACCTGCTTCTTGCTTAAACTCTTCAGCTTTGGCAGAGGCCCCAAAGGAGGTACATCCCTCTGAGTTGCCATATGGAGTCCCAAGTAGTTGTCAGATGCTAGGCTCATTCTGGTCTCATCATTCCCTCTTTCACCACTCCTAGTGCCTCACATAAGCACCCTGTTAGCAAAGGATAAGGCCCCTCTGTTCCTATTTTATACCTTTGAGCTGTGGGTGGGGAATCAGTGTGTCCTATTCTGTCCAGGCCCTAATTCCAGGTCCCAAGAAAGATAGCACAAGGCTAGTGCCTCCAGAGGCCCAGGTCCTTTGTTGGACATTCTATCATGGTTAAGGGCAGAGCTGCCTGCAGTTCCACCCATGGGTTCCTAGAGGATGCCCCCAGCTGAAGGAAAGGATAGCAATTGATATGGTGGAGCAGAAGCCCTGCCTCAGGTCACTGGTGGTCTGCCACAGAAAGCTGCTCTTTACCAAACAAGCCCCCGCTCCTCCCCCACCCAGGGCCCTGGCTCAGAGATGACTGCCTAGTTTTCTCAGCCCATGGACTGAAGAGGGTCAAATCTACCTAATGATGTTCCATGGGAGAAGAAGACATGTTTGAGGCAAAGGCCAGCCCACGCCTAGACTCTGGCCAGGAGCCAGACTCACCCCCAAGGTTTGTCCAGTGGCCCTGCTCCTGAATCTAGGCCCCCTGAAGATCAGCACATTCTCTGTACTATTTTCACAACTTTGCTCTAAATGAAATTATTTCAAAATAAAGCTTTGTTTTTTAAAATGATTCTTAGCTCTAAACAGGACAGATAAATTGCATTTCACAAACAGTCCTTGAGGAAGGAAATTACCTGGGAAATACCCAGACAGATGCACTCACACAGGTCCCAACTCAGATACCAGGTTCCCGCCTCCTGGCATCCCCTGGAAAGTACTTGCATGGCAAAACATGCCCTCCTTTGGTCCCTGACTGACCTGTCTTCCCTGTGAAGGGGTCAGGGGTCAGTTCAAATGGGCTTCTCTGTCCCAGAGGGTATGCCCATCAGGAGATCCCATGCAGAGGTATAAAGCAGAGACCATCTGAGGATGATCCCCCTGCCAGTGTGGGGCCACAGGGGTGCAGAGAACTTGCTCAGGGTCCCCAACTTGCTCTTGTCAGGGAGATGAGGGCATTTCTCCCCTGGCAGTGGATTCAGACCCGTGTCCTATTCTCTGGCCCTAGAATTCCACTCTAGGAAAGGGGTTCTGCCTTTAGCAAGTCTCATCACCCATTGTACTGGCTGAAACATGGCCCTTAGAACATGGCCCCAAATACCCATGATGCCCAGACAGAGATGACGAGGTCCTGCTCTTACTGCTCCTCATCCACCCACCCGTGATGCCCATTCGTTGGTGCTATGGGATGCTGCATAGCACATGATCTCACTGAATCCTCTCAACAACTCAGATAAGCTGGGCATTCTTATGATCCTCATTTTTAACAACTGTAATAAAACTCACACAACATAAAATGTAGCATCTTAACAATTTTTAAGTGTACAGTTCAGTAGTGTTAAATATATTCACATTATTGTGCAATCAATCTCCAGAACTCTTTTCATCTTGCAAAATGAAACTCTATATCTATTAAATAACACCCCATTTCCCTCCCCTCCCAGCCCCTGGCAACTACCATTCTACTTTCTGTTCCCATGAGTTTGACTACTCTTCATATGGCATATAAGTGAAATCAGTTTCTGTCTTTTTCCATGACTAGCTTATTTCATTTGGCATAATATCTTCAAGGTTCATTCATGTTGTAGCATGTGTCAGAATTTCCTTCCTCTTTTAAGGCTGAATACTATTCCATTGTGTGTATACACCACATTTTATCTATCCATTCATCTGTTGCTGGGTATTTGAGTTGCTTTTACTCTTTGTGACTAATACTGCCATGAACATGAATATGCAAATATTTGAAGGCTAGTGCTTATGGGTGGGGCCAGAACCAGTCCACCCATCTGACTCCAGAACTCTTTGTCCCACCACTCTCTAGGGAGAACCACCCACCCTCCTCACTTTCATGCTTCTCCCCTCCTTCCTCCCAATGACTAGTGTTCCTTTGCTTTTTATTTTACTCCTAGTACCAAAAAAGAAAGCAAGTAAGGGAAAAGCTACTGAAAAAGGCAAATCTGGTTGTGTGTTTGTGAGTGTGTAATGTTGTGCATCCTCAGATGGGGAACAATGTATTTTCCCACAGGCCCACTTGGGCTGGGTGTAACAGGGATAGCCATGGACTTGTAAACCAGCCGCTACCTACCCACCCCTCACATCCTGAGGTGAACAGAACTATTAAGGAAGGGGAAAGAGCTAGGTGAACCCAACTGTCAAGGAGGACTGCAGTTAGTAGGGCCAGCTCTAGCCCAGATGCTGACCGCACTTCCAGGAACTGGGATGAGCTGACCCCTACTTTTAGATGTCTCAGGATCAGACTATGCACAGAAGGCAGGTAAGCACTAAGGAGCCCCAGTTAGGGGATCAAAGCCAGAGATGCCTGTGAGCTCTGTGCTTATACTGTCTCTGTGAGTCTGTCCTTTCATGAGTGCCTTGGGACCAGGGTTATGCCTCCTCTAGTTCCCTGTTCACCAGTATCAGGAGGCCTCCTGCTCCTTTGTGGAGAAATTAGAGCTTCAGGACAGGACCCAAGCCTTACTATAGTTGTATAGCAGAGCAGGAGAGCCCCTGATGCTTCCAGAAGTCTGTGGCCAGGGAACAGACCAGACCTGCCCATGCCCTGCTCAGCAATAAGACTCTACTTTGTGTCTGCACATGGTCTCAGCAGCATCCCCACACCCCTCCTCATGCCTGCGGCAGGAATTTGACTCAGTCTGTGCTTCTGGGGAGTCTGGGGGTTGACAGCATCTAGGCTCTTGGGAAACAACTTCCTCTTGTGAAACTGCCGGAGAAAAAGGCAGTTGACAGCTGCCTCCCTTCTCAGTTCTTCATGCCTTCCCTACTAGACAAACTGACCAGGATTGATCCTAAGCGAGTCCTGCCCTCTTGTGCCGCACACCTGTGTTACAAGTATAACCCAGATTACTGCTAGCCAGGTCTGATGAGGAACTGGGGACGCTGAGCCAGGCACGGCTAGGGGGTCTTCAAGGGGACTGATGCAGATGAAGGGTCGCTCACACACCCACCTCGGTGACGATAGTAGACAGGTAGATGTCCTGGCTGAACTCCCAGCCATCCAGGCAGCCCTCCTGCTCCAGCTGCTCCAGGTCCACATCGCGCCCCGGCTCCAGCCCGAGCGCCGAGAAGTTGACGATCGTAGCGAGTCGGTAGCGGCGGCAGCTCTGAAGCACCTCGCGGCCGTCCTGCAGCCGCACCGGGACACTGTGGTTGCGCCACGCGCTGCTCAGGTTCGCGGTGTCCGGCACCCGGCAGCGATGTTCCGGGGTCCCTGCCAGAAACACGACTGACATACCGTTGAAGCCGTTGGGGATGATGCTGGCGCTGAGTAGGAAGAAGATGAGGCGCTGGAAGGGCCCCCACTTGCCCAGGAAGGCGGTCACTTCATCGTAGTCCCGCATGCTCTGCGCCGCCCTGCAGCTGGCAACGTGGGGTGATGAGAGCGCGTTCCCCGGACAGCGCCGCGCGGTCCAGGGCGTGGGCGTCAAAACGTTCTCGCGGACCCTGCAAGCTGAGGGAAGGCGGCGCACGCGGTCTGGAGCTTTCCCGGGAAGCGGGCTGTGGGCGTTAGAAGGTTGCTGGGAGCTGGACGCAAAGCTGGATCCACTTTCTGGAAACAGAAACTCGGGACCACACCCCCATCCCGGCCGGGGCGGGGCGGGGCGGGGTGGGGTGGAGCTCCCGGGCGGCTCCGCCGGTGCTCCCTCCCTCGCCCGCGGCGACCCGGCGGGGGCTAGGAGGTCAGCTGGCCGCGGGCGTAGGAAAAAGAGGACTAGTTCCATTGCCGCCCCTACCCTTGCCCCGGCGCGCCCGGGCGCCCCTAAGTGCTGAGCGCCCAGCCCCGGGCTGCCGGGTTGGGCAGCGTGTTAAGGGCAGAGTCGAGCTTAAGGGCAGAGTCGAGGCCGCAGAGCAAGGACTCTGAGAGGTCGGACCTCCCTGTCGCCGTCGCCTCAGGCCTCGTTCGGGGCTGGGATCTCTCCGCTGCCGCTTCCGACTCGGGGTCTGAGCTCAGGGAGCCTCGGGCCGGGCGCGGACGGGCGAGTCCGTGGAGCTGGTGCTCCCGGGAACCCTTTGCGGGCGCAGGGGTGACAGGAGCGCGCCCGCGCCCGCCAACTCGGAGCTCCCAACCCCCAATCCTAGGCTGCCGGATTCAGTCACCTGCCGGCGGCTTCCGAACAGCCCGGAGCCTAACCTTGAATAGGGGGAAACAGGCCCAGCGCCCCGAAGAGATGATCGAGGGCACACTTCGTCAGAGACAGGCTCGGACTGAGGGGAGGTGGGGAGCAGGGACTACAGGGTGGTCCCGGGATCCTGTTGGGGCCTCTGGAGAAGATTCTACGCGGAGCTTGACCCTTTGTGAGAGCACGGTAATGGAGACCCAGCTGTCACCACTCTGGGGCTCTGATTTTGATTTCCCGGGGCTCTTCGTCGAGGATGGCTGCCAGAGGCTTCTTGGACTAGAGGCCTCTGGTTTGCAGAAGGGACCGCCCCCAGTCGGGGAACAGAGGGAGACAGGAAGGGAGGAGGAAAAGGTTCAGTTTGTTGCCCAGATTTGGCAGGGTAGCCAGAGCAGGCACCAGTCGGCTAGTGTCCAGGTCTAAGGCCCCTCTGCTGTTGTGTGAGCGAGTCTGGGACTGCAATGGGAGCCCTGGGGTTCTTGAGGTGGAAGGGATTGACAGGCTGAAGGGCCCACCTCTTGGAGATTTTGTACAAATGCATTTGCGTCCAGGCCCTGATTAAGAGGTGGGAGGCATTTCTGCTCCATTTTTTATAACCTCCAGTCTTGGCTGGCTTTCTATCTGCTTGGAACCTGTTTCCTTATGTGTAATAAGACCTTATGTCTGGATGTGCCAGGACAGCACTGTTTTATTAAGTGTTTTCCTTTCCTTTCAAAAGTATCCTTCTTTGAACAGTATTTCTTGCGGTCATTGTCTTACTTAGCTTAGATTTCATCCTCCCTTCACCCCCGATAAAAATCAAAGCCTGAGATAAGAATTTTGTTTTTCATTTATTTTTATTAGTTGGAGGCTAATTACTTTACAACATTGTAGTGGTTTTTGTCATACATTGACATGAATCAGCCATGGATTTACATGTATTCCCCATCCCGGTCCCCCCTCCCACCTCCCTCTCCACCCCATGCCTCTGGGTCTTCCCAGTGCACCAGGCCCGAGCACTTGTCTCATGCACCCAACCTGGGCTGGTGATCTGTTTCACCCTAGATAA